CAGAGGAAAAATGTGAGTGAGAAGACAGGGTGCAGGCTGCAAGTGTGTTTGTACCCCTGTCCTTGGCTTTGGAGCAGCACTGCAGCCAAAAAAATACCATCGTGTGTCTGTCAGTGTCTTAGTAAGGTCATCAGCATCCTCAGCTGTGTAAAATCCGTCTCCCTGCTCTCTACAAAAACGACAACTCCTCATCTGAGCACCCCACTCTCCCAAGACACCACTCAAGGGAGGGAACTCTATTTAGGATCAGCCAAGTAAAGCTCCTTTTCTTTCTGACAAGCCTGTGTTTGAAGGTAATACCCCAGCAAAAAGGAGCCGACTGCACTAAACAGCACTAGTTGCTGTTTCTGTCCTGGCACCTATTTCTGCACGAGTGGTAGATGGAAACTTTGGACTCCACAAGGCTGAAAGGAAAGGACAGTCTATAGAGTGGGGAGAGTGAGTGCAGAGCACCGTGTGTGCACTGTCCAGGCTGCAGGGGAAGGTGCCCTGCCTTCGACTGCGGCCTGAATGCAAGTTTGCAGATGTAAGGGGGAGCTCAGGTGTCCCAACACCTTCTGTTTGGGGGTAGTTACAGGAGCAGTTTTCAACTTTGGATCTTCACTTTGCTTTGTGTTGAGCACGTTTGCTTCTTTTGCTGGTACTTACTGCCTGCTGGCGGATGGTTTCAACGGCGACACGGGAACGAGTAGCCAACAAAAGCTTTTGGTCCTGGCATGGCTGACACTGGAGCAGTAAGTGTTGGGGCTTCGTTTGGCATCCTGGCTCTGCAGGAGTGATGCTGCACACATCTGGGAGGTAAGACAGTCATCTCATTGTTGGTGGTGCAGTTTATAGGCTGCAAAAGAAAGGCTGAGTGCAGCCTTGGCTCTTTTTTCTAGCACCTCTTCTGTGAGACCAGCTGCTGAAGGTTTTTGATGTTGTAACAGGTCTCTGCGACTCTGAATGTGTATAAAGGTGTGTAGAGGCAGAGCAGGAGAGTGCACAGACCTGTCTGTGGTGCTTTTATAAGCTGCAAGGGGAAAGCAAATGCCAGCTCTTGCTTTTTGTTCTAGGACTTTTAGTATGATAGCAGTTGCTATCTTGCTCTGCCAGGCTAAAAGGATATAATGGTCTATGCAGCTGAGCAGGAAAGTGAATAGCTCTGGGGTGTGTGTTGGAATTCAAAGGATTATAACATACAGCAGCTCCCACACAAAAGGTCCTGAAACCACAAACCCCGAGCTGACAATCATTTCCCCTCTGCAGCCCATGTATTCCAGACAGACCACCGCGATCCGCAATTTCCTTCTCCTTAGACACACATTTCAGTCTATACTGAAAGTGTGTGCACCCTCAGAATATACAGTTTTAGTCTTGCAGAGTCCAAAGTGTCCAATCTACCTCTCACACAGAAACATGTGCCAGGACAGAAGCAGTTTCTGCATTACCCTTCTCCTCGTAGCCTTTTGACTCCACACAGCCCACGGCCGAACGTGCCTCCCGTTGTGGTGCGGGCACAGAGGGGTGCAGTGTCCCTCTTGCTGTGCTGGCTGTTCCCTGGTGCTGGCACGAACTCCCCATCCTGCTGCCCCTGCTCACCAGGGCCAGCACCTTCCAGCCCTCCTCCTCCTCCTTGCAGGTGGCATCGCCTGGGTGCCTCTCGCTGCTGGGCCCTGGCTGGCCTGAAAGGAGAGCAGGGGATTTACTGAGGGCACCTGGCTCCCTCCAGCCCAAGCCTGCTGGGACAGGGATGCAGGAGGTGATGGGGATGCAGTTACGTGGCACAGTGGGAGCCTCATGCCCTTGTCCCGTCCTGCCCCTCTGTGCTTGGCGTGGACCCTCCTGCTTGGTCTGTCCTCAGCTACAGGTACCAGCACATTGTCACACCCCTGGAGATTGGGTTCATGCTCTGAAACCTCCTGCAGGAGTTCCCTCACACAGTGCCCATCAGTCGCTCCCCACCGCTGCCAGTCGCCCGCACCGTGTTCCCAGCATAGTCCCAGCCACCTTCAGCATGAGTCCAGTTGTGGCCAGTATATCCCAGTTGCCCCTAGCATGTTTCTAGTCATTTGGACTGTGATCCCAGTATGATGCCAATCACCCTCAGTATAGTTCTAGTTGCTCATAGCATGGTCCCAATCATCCCCACTATGGTTACAGACACCCCCAGTATATCCCAGTCCCATCCAGCAGGCACCTTGTCCTGCCTGTTTTCTCCCAGTTGCTTCCAGCATGGTCCCAGTTGCTCCCAGAAGCCCACATGGTGGCACATGTTGCTCCAGTCACCCCTAGTATGATCCCAATCATCCCCAGTATGATTCCAGTCACCCCCAGTTCCACTCAGTAGGATCCCAGTAGACACCTGCATAGGCCCAGTGTCTTCATTCCCCCAAAATGCTCCAAATCACTCCCAGTTGCTTCCAGCATAGACCCAGTCACTCCCACTTGCCCCCAGCATAGACTCGATCACACCCACTCACCGCCTGTCACCGCCAGCATGGTCCCAGTTTCACCCAGTGTGATCCCAGTTGCTCCCGGTGGCTCAACTTGCTTGTGCCACTTGCTCCCAGTCACCCCCACTATGATCCCAGTCAGCATTAGTATGATCTGTGTAGCCACCAGTACAATTCCAGTCATTCCCTATATATACACCAGTTGCCTCCAGCGTGTACCCCACCACTCTGTTTCTTCCAGCTGCTTCCAGCAGGATCCCAGTTGGACACAGACACTCCCAATCACTCTCAGTGAGGTCATGGTTGCTCCCAGTATGATCCCAGTTGCCTCCAGCAGGAGCCTGCTTGCTCTCAGTATATCCCAGTTGCCCCCTGCATGCTCCTAGTCATTCCCAATATGATCCAAGTATAATCAGGGACAGCCAAATGGAATCAAAATGGAGCTGAGTGGGAGCCCCAGTACCATGCTGGGAGCCCCCTGGGTACACACTGAGGTCATACTGGAAGCTTCTGGAACCATGCTGGGGGTACAGGGACCATGCTGTGGCTAACTGGGAGTGACTGGGTTTACACTGGGGGCAACTGGGAGTGACTGGGGCTGTGCTGGGGGAGACTGGGATCCTACTGGACTCATACAGGGATGAGTGGGAGTGGCTGGGACTATGCTAGTGGCAAGTGGGATGATACTATGAGCAAGAGGGATCAAACCGAGGGTGACTGGGATCATACTGGGATCCTGCTGGGATCCTACTGAGAGTGAGGAGCATGTGGGGGACAATTAGGACCATGACCCTGGTCCCTGAGGGTCAAGAGGAGGACCTGAGTGGGGGTCAGCACAGCTGCAGCCCCCAGGAGCCATGGGACAAACCCAGGACACTGCAGGAGACTCACTCAGGCCTTTTTTTTCCCCGGGGGCAGATGGAAAACACCTCCCCTGTAAGGCCTTCCATTAGCTGGGGTACACCTGGGATCTACAGGGCATGAGTTTGTAAGATCTAACTAGAAATGAACAGAAACCAGGACTCAAATGACAATTTTAATAGACTTTAGAACAGAGTGTACAAGTATAAAACACTGGTTTTGTATTTCAAAAGTCGCAGGAAGATAGCCAGTCATTTTAAACAGTCTTCTACAAAACATATGCCAGTAGATTACATAAAAGACACTATATACAATATAAAAGAGCAGAAAACAATTCTCACTGTAAAAATAATTTAAAACAAAGTATTTCAATTTAAAATATCTCCTATAGCACAAATACATCGTGACATGCAAGTGAAAACTAAACATACTGCAATCTTCAGTGTAGCCAAATAAGAGCTGTATTAAGTTTGGACAATGAGACAACATGCCAACATCTTCCGGGGAATACAGGAGGCTGTTCTAAAGTATTTCTTGACTGGTGTATCTTATGTTCAAAGAACAGCTACTATACATCTTCCGAAAGGTAATAAATATAAAAGCGAAGTATATGAATAATCTACATTGTAGAGTTCATTTGGGCCGACGGCGAGAAAGTGGTTTATAGAAAAATGCTGCTTCACTTATTATGCACTGTGCAATTTTACAAAAAGTTCTAAAGGCTTGGAAACAATCTGCACTTGAACATCTGCAATGTCCAGTTTTAAGGCAGCCTAGCACTCGAGTACATGTCAGAATGGACAAGTCCCTTTGCTTCCCACGCGCACGGTGGAGCCAGGAGCCGGGAAGGCATTTCCCAGGCCTGGAACACGAGGGAAAACCAACACGTTCCCAGGGCATGTTACTCATCCATGGACACACGCGGCGGCGTACAGGAGGCTCTCAGTGTTAGATCACTTTCCCCTGGTTTTGGTGCATCAGTAAGTACAGAGGAAGAGCTCAATGATTCTGTGCCTGGTAGGAACACTCCTGCAGACTCTGCTTCCAGCCTGGAGCCTGGCTCAGCAAACGCTGCTTACACTGTGCTGGATGGGACTGCTGTGTGCAGCACCACAAACTGCTGCCACGGGATCCATTCTGTCTGAAATGCAGGACTCTAATCCCTAAGGAGCCAATGCCAACACCACTCCACGTCCACAGAAGTGTCAAACTCAGCAACCTAAGCGTTTCCAGAGCACTTCTTGATCAGCTGACAAACGCTGGATTCCTCAAGTGCTCACTGTCTCCTTTCCATCTCGCTATCTCCTCACGTTTGAGTATGTCTCAAACACACAAACAACTGTTAAAGCAAAAAAATTAGCTGCCACAGTGGGTCTTAGAAAATGCCAGTGTTTAATGACAGGCGTGGCGTGAGGGGAAGGTTGAACAGAAGTGTAAGAAGGTTTTAAATAAACCAAAGTGTTACAAAGGAAAAGGTGTGAAAATACCATTCTTTGGTCTAAATTAGCTGTTCCCTTTATATTAGTTTAACATTCCAATGGCTTTTTCAAAACTGTTTAAAAATAATATAAGCTGAGATTCATTAAGCAAAAATATGCATTATATACATGGATGCCTGATCAGACAGATGAACTCAAAAGTGAACTTAGTGACAGTTGTCTATACAATTCTAGTACCTTAAAAAAAAGATGAGTTAGTGTTGCGTGCACAGTAATAGAATTTTATTGAAAAAGGTAAAAAACTAAGCATGAAAATCTGTTTTAGTTATTTATAAACACTACATCCTTATGGTTTTGTTGCTCTAAATTCCGACGTAAACATTCATTATGACATGCCAAAGCTCCTAATGCTGGTGGAAAGTTCCTGTAACCAGTCAGCAATCACTTTACAATGTGTTGCTTGAATGTTCAGTCCCTGCAGCTTCACTTGTGTAAGCTGATTCATCAGCTGCCAATTCATCTTGTTCTGCTCCATCTTCCCCAAATCCAGGCTCCTCTTCCCTCTCGGGAGCATCCTCATCCTCTATGCCATTGTAAAACTCTTCGATCTCACTCTCGTCCTCCACATCTAAGCTTTGACTACGACACGAACCACTCTCACTACTACTCCCACAGGAGCTGGAAGATATGATATCGTCTTCAGAATCCGAGTAAACCTCAGCACCATGGAAAATATAGCGATTGGGTGGTAAAAACAGATACTGAGTACCTGAAACAGAATTGCCACAGTCAGTGAAAGGCTGACAAAACTGATTCCTACAAGACCTGTCAGGCTTCTGGTTAGCAGGCACCTGCACCTTCGACAGGGAAGCTTAACTACAAATCTGATGAGAAACCCATTTATGGCAGTGTATGTGTATTTATGCTTCACTGGAAAGCTCAGCTCTCCCTCCCTCTGACACCAGAGAGCATTCACACTTGATGTTTGGCAGTTTTTTCACTGCATTCACAGCTAGATTCCATTCCACAACAGAATGGGAACTGCCTGGACAGAGGATCTGACAAAGCCTAGACCAGGCTTTGCTTTGGAAAACAGCAACTTAATACCTGGTTCTCTGTCCAGACACACTGATTTTCTAGGGTGACAGCTCCTTACATCAGTCACAAGACTGTACACTGGAGGGCTCCTTGGAAAGTTTCCTTCACAATGTGTCTAGCTCTAGCTGTGAGATTTGCTTTTACTCCCTGTCATGAGTTCACCTTTCAGCTGTATTGCCACACCAAACCATGACTTACTGTGACCTGTGTCTGAGCACCTGAGGAGCAAACCAGTTTTGCTGAAAGTGCATCTGAAAATGTCAGAAATGGATTTTTTGTTTGATACCTACCTCCAGCCTCCTAAACTGTGATCTGCTGGGGAGGATGTAATCACTGATTAGAAAGCCTATTATGAAATACAAGAAGAATTTCCTATCGGCTTCTCCAGAAGAAATAAACGGTAAGATGAGAGTTATGTAGACACTTGTCTGAACAAAAATAATCACTGAAATCCACTGATTCCCTCAAGAGTAACTTATTTCTTGCTTCAAAGTAAGTCTAGAATAAACATCTCAGCCAAAACAATGCAAGATACTGAAATGAGCTCACACTTACCATCCAGCCTTTTGCTAATCTGTTCTTTTGCAGATCTGTTTACCCAGCACTTCTTGAGTATTTCATTCTTTTCTTTAGCTTCTCCGTTGTCAGATCCATTCTCCTTCGTTGTTTCAGAGTTCATTAGCTCACCAGCAGGATTTTCTGGGTTTTCTGATGACGTCTGTGTGTCCTGCAGCTTCTCCTCTGTGCAGGCCCCTTTAGTTTCTGAGGCAGGCTCACAGTTTTCTCCCTTATATTCAGGTGGATGTTCTGAAGACACCACTGAAGTATCTGGTGGAGTCATTCTTTCTGGTGTACTGGACCCTTCTGAAATGTTCAGAGGGGTGGGTGGCAGCTCAGCTGAGAGCACTTCAAGTTCCTTGTGTGGTCGTGGAGGCTTTTCTGTTATTTCTGAAAGTTTTACTGAGTTGTAGCAAAGTTTTGTGTATTCGCTACCTAACCTTTGACATAGCTCATTAATGATAACATCACAGTCTCCAAGAAGCTCCACATCAAAGTGTAGATGAGGCAAAGGTTCCCTATTAATTAAGATCTGAGGCACTTCATGGGGGATGGAACCTACAGAGAGAAAAACAGAATTCAGAGGAAGTTACTTGGGTTTTGCTTTCAGCAGAGATCTACTGAGCAAGCTTCGTTCCCCAGGCTTCTCTTCAGACCTTCACTTGCAAAAGGACCAAACCAGCCAGACCAGGAAGAAGCCAAGCAGATCCCAAATTTCACAACAGCAGTTTGAAGTGCTGTGCCTGTTGTAGTCTGCTTAGACTTTTCTCCCCTATTTTTCCCACTAGAAAGTGTTCCTCTACTCAATCACTGAGAAACATGTGTATAAAATATTGACTGCAATAATGTCAGGTCAGGTGTTAAAATGAGTAAAATTAGTGCTATAGTATCTTAGAATTATGTTGATTTTGTGAATTTATATGTTTAATGCACATGAAGAATATATGGCTGGAAATAACATCCCTTGACTTAGGTGCAAGTATTTCCAGGTACAGTCTACACTTGCATCGAGTTGTTAACCCATTTATGAAACCAGTTTGGTAACCTACCACTGACTCCTCAAATAACCAACCAATGAAGTCCAGTTCCAGGGCACAGGAAGAGCAATGGTTTGTGTTTTGGATCCCAACTTGCCCTGTGCATTTCCCATCAGCCTAAGCACCTGACTCTGCCTCCTGCACGGGGAAGAGGATGTTCCTGCACAGGCAGCCCTGGACATAGCTAACAGGCAGGTGCTCGACACGTGTCCTTCTCAGGCTTACACTGCAAGAGAATGTCTTTAGAACCAGTAAGGCTTTCACTCAGTACACAAAAAATCACCTGTCACAGTGATTTCTCTGCCCTCCTGAAAAGCATTTTTCTGTAACATATATTAGCAGACATATTTTCCATGTCACTTTTGAAGCTAAGCATGCAGAGCAGATGGTGACACACTGCACAATGCCCACTGTGTGTCATTTACAGTAAGATACAAGTCAGACATCTGATGTTCCTGATCTGATTTTTTTGACACTGCATTTGGGGGGTTTGAGATCATTCTTTTCTTAATCTTTCAAGCAACTCTGAAAGCATATTGCAGGCAGGGAGAGAAATCAATTGACTCTTAGAACAGTCACTCAAGTTTTAGGAGAGCAGTTTGTCAGATTATCATTTCATTACCTTGAGATCTACCTGGAATGTAGAAAGAGCATTCAGAATTTGTTATTTTCTCTATTTTGCATCCCAGCTTTGCATAGGCAAGCAGCTCTCAGAATTTGTTATTTTCTCTAATTTACATCCCAGCTTTGCATAGGCAAGCAGCTTTCATCTTAGAAAACTTGATGCTTCATCTACTTTCCTCAATGAATTGAGCCAAAAACATTTCTTAGAGCTCTTGAGAACTTCGTTTTTGATCCAAATTTTTGGAAGGAAATATTACCAGAGACAGTCACTTACTTGGAATCAATGCTACTGGTCTGACTTTCAGTGAAGACCCAATGACAATAAGCAGATCGACTTCGTTTTTGTCGTACTTCATGGCACGGTGGAACTGCTCCGGTAAGTTCTCCCCGAAGAACACGATGTCAGGCTTCATGATGGCGAGCGGCTCCTCGGGGCGGCACCGGGGACAGCGGGGCACGACCTGCACCACGACAGCCCTGTTACTGCAGCAAAGGCTGTGCCCTGGAAACCTCAGAGCTAAGCAATTCACACAGACTTACTCTGGCAAAAAGACAGGCAAGTTTCAGTGGTATTTTCTCATTTCATTTTTCTGTGGCTACACAAACAAGTACACTCCTTACTCTAGCCTGCAGCAACTGCACAGGGAAATAACAGCTCCA